TCTCTCTCTCTCTCACACACACACACACACACACACACACACACACAGGTAATTTTGATTCTTGAATATAATATCTGTGTTGATCTTGTTTACAATCTTAACACAGGGTTTTTTTGGTGCCCCTTTATTTATTATCCCATCTTGCTGTTGAAATATTTGGGCTGTTAATGATTTTTCTGATCCATAACAAACTTATGATTTGCTATGAAACAAGCCTTTAACATGCTTGATGATATGCTTCAGTTGGGATCAATGTTGTACAATCAACAATTTTGATCTCTTTTAATGTTCTTTTTGCCTTTTGCAATTTGATGGTTTGGTCTGCAGAGGATTTAAACATGGGAGGTGTAGTTGCTAAGGAAGGATCTCACACGAATTTGGAGCCTAAAACGAAGGTCGAGGCCAAAATAATCGAGGCTCTGCGAAAACGGGAAGCAAAGGGGAGTTCTATCATATCCTTCAACAGCATTATTCTAAAGTTCCCCAAGATTGATGAGAGCTTTCAGAAATGCAAATCGACATTCGAAGAATTCGGTTAGGATCGGATTTGCCTTGAATGTTTTTCTTCTATAGAAAATAAAAACCTGAAAAATGTTGATCAGAACATAGTTTCATTTTTGTTGTCATGCTAATAGATGAAGATGGTAATGGTGCAATCGATCCTCAAGAGCTAAAAAGCTGCTTTCGGAAGCTTGAACTTAGTTTCGATGACGAGGAAATAAACGACTTGTTTGAGGCGTGCGATATAAATGAAGACATGAGAATCAATTTCAATGAATTTATCGTTCTTCTTTGCCTTGTTTATCTTCTCAAGGAAGATCAAACCAGTGAGCAAGCTGTATATATCAACTCACTCCATTGAATCTTTTTTGTTTAATTATTATTACTGTTATAAAGTGTTGATATTAAACGAGCCCTTAATACTTTTTTTTCTCAACACCTTATGAAATCTTCAGATAGGAATGCCGAGTCTAAGGGCCACATTCGAAACGATAGTCGACACGTTTGTTTTCTTGGATAAAAACGGGGATGGGTGTGTTAGTCGAGATGAAATGATTGATGCCATTAACGAGACCACTTTGGGAGAGAGATCTTCCGGGAGAATAGCCATGAAAAGATTTGGTCTTTCTTTCTACCACTCTCTTGATTTCATGTGTTGTTTTATGTATTGCTCGAGAATTTTTTGACGATTATTAGGTTGCGTTTGGTTGCAGAGGAGATGGATTGGGACAAAAATGGAATGGTGAACTTTAAGGAGTTTCTATTTGCATTCACGCGTTGGGTCGGGATTGAAGATGTTGACGAAAATGATGATGATGAAGGGCCGAAAATTA